GACTGAAAACTATGATCATCATATTAAATTACGAGATTTAATGCTATATTAAGTAAATATATCGTGTTATTTAACAAATCAACAGATCGTAGCAAAACATGAGTTTCACCAGAAGCACTTTTGTATGCAGAAAATCTTTAAGTTGTGTTTAGATACCTTAACGTTGCACGCCGAAGAACGTACGTTTTATATAGGATTTCGTGCTCCTTAAACTGACCGTTTTCCAGCAGAGAGTGGCAAGAAGATGTCCGAGAATGCACGTGCTCCCTTTCTGTCGGAAAAATCGAACTTCTTCCCTTGGTTGGCACCTGCCTCTTTTCAGAGGTCATTAATTCAATACGGCTAGTATGTTGTTGAAGTAGGTTTATTAAGGCGTATTTACACACATACTGTTCGAGATTCTCTTTCGATATTTGTTGGTGGGAAAATCGAACGGTGTAACCCGTCCAATGACGCCTTTATGTACGCAAATTGTGCACGTTGGACTACGTAGCCACGAATATTTCCGGCAGACATCACACATACGTTTCAATGATTCCGTCCTATGCCCATAAAGTGCAATTGCTTAACAACATATATTATATTTAAAAAAAAAAAATAACTAAGAATTTAAGCCAGATAAAAGATATTAAAAATAAAAAATCAACTATACATATATATATATTTTTAATGGTGATTTCATGCAGAATATATATTACCATAGAAAAACTGCAGAACTGAAAAAAAAAACAAGTATAATGTCGTTGCTTAAACATTTATTTGTGCAGTTTTGACTTTTTAGGCTATTCCATTTTGACCGAAAGTAATTGTAATAGCAACTTAAATTTAAAATTTTTCATACATATATTATGCATATATTTTCAATTTAAGAATTTAAATAAAGTTTAGTATTAAATAGACCAAACGGTAGAGAGGTTTTTCTTCAAATCTGTGCTTTTTTTCTCTTTTGTTATTATGGCACAATTTACATATAATACATTACGTATATGTATGTACATTTTTTTTATTTTATTACTTCTTTTTATTATATTTTTTATTATCTTTAACATAACATAAAATAAATAAACGAATTATGTAAGGTAAAAGAGATCAAACCAGAACAAAATATTCACGAAAACGATGATTCCTGCGTTTTATCCTCGCACGTTTGGTACCAAAACGTAACAAAAGTGCGGGGACAATATTGAAGATTTGTACATTAAAAAAAAGATGATTTGTTATATAGACAGAGACCCAGAAATGCTCCGCTTAATCTAAAATACTTGCACATGTATAAGAGTAATCCCAAACGATCATTCCTGCGATTTGTGCCAAAATGTACAAGTGCGAAAACAATTTTTAAAACGCAGGAACAATTGTTAGGGATTTCTTTACATGCAAGTACGCGCGGATACTTCGGATTAAACGGAGCAGTAGTCCCGGGTCTCAACTCTGTTAATCAACTTTTATTTATTAACGTAATGGATTTTTTATTTCAACGCAGCATTGGTCTTCAATATCGAAAGTCGAGAACCATTAATGCAACGTTCATCTACAGCATAGAAATTATATATATATATATTTAGATTTGAAGTCGTAATGCCATATCGATTCGCAATATATCGACGAGTAATTTAATTAAATGTTCGTTTACGCAGGAAGCAGCTAAGACTGTTGGGCTGGTTCCATACGGTGTTCTGCCATGTATGCCACTCCGCCTGCGTTCTACGCTTAAGTTACACTCCACTTGGACCTGATCGCCGTATAATCGACACTCCGAAGTGAGCCAGGGGCTAAGATTGCGCATTTTGCCGCACAAGCAGTTGCCTGAAACGCTGACCGAAGAGTTAAGCATGCAACCATCAAAAACCGCGGATCGATAAAACTGAGCTATCTCTTCCCGATCGCAGAAGAACATGCGGAGAAAACTTGTGCCATGTTATATAGATCTGAGATGTGAAGAAACTTTAACAATAAACGAACCATTTTTTAAATAATTTCTGGAATAAGTGTGTGCAGTATATAGTTCGTCCTTATTAAACATAGTCACAAGTATTTGACGCACAACAATTCAAAAGATGAAATGATTTTCTCATACTGTGAAGTTCCACAAGTGTAAAAAAAAAAACAAAATGTACATGATTGAGTTGCATTTAATTACGAAAAAAGTTTTTAAAAATAATTGCCATAAAGATTCTAAAAAAAATTCAATGGTCTAGACATAATCATTTTTCTCCACCTTGCACAGTTTTCCCAATCTTGAGTGCTTCCTGCGCCATACTTATTGCGCCGTCCTTGGTTTTGTGACTCCCCATGCACCGACTGGAAAGCACAAATAAAGCGCCCTCAATTCCACAGGCTTTTACAAGAGCATCACTCTTTAAACCGCCCCACGCTTGCGGGAGTAACATTCTGTACATGCGACTTCTCAACGCTACTGGCATACACTCAATCCAATAAGAACAGTCTCTAGACTCTTGATTCTCTAAAATAACATACTTTATTGATGGCGAAATGTTCATCTCCTTTTCCAGTTTAAACAGATACTCTTCATACAGTAGAAATTTCGACAATGTTATTATCTCTCCGCTCGGATCGACCTTAAAAGAATGTTTTACATTAAACGATAATCGAAAATAAATCCAAAAAGACAAATAGAAGAAGTATTTTCCTTACTTCGAATCGACTTTCCACAGCGTGTCGCACGATGTCCATTGACGGTAAGTGAACGTTTTTCACGTCTTGTACAATTTCTAAAAATTCCGTTTGAGCCAAAGCCACGGCTTTCTCAAACTGTTTCTCTTTTTCCTGGCTGTTCAACGAAAAATTTAGTCTACGTATGCGCGCACTTAAATCAGTACATGATAGATATCTGAAACAAATGCAGATGCAATTATTCTGGAGAAACGTTCTAGATAGTATATATATAACATCACAAGCGTCCACTTATAATGGCACTGCATCGTACATTTGCTCATCATTATCTATAGCATCGATTTCCTTGATTAACTTGTCATAAATAAACTTAAACATTTCATCAATAACTCTGCCCTCTGTTACGTCTGAAAGTATATTCCTCAATATCTTATGACCGAAATGACAGTAGATCAGTCCCGCACTGGTTAGTTCCACTGTCGAATCATACCCTGGTTTTCTTATGATGGTACTCACCGATTCTTTGAAATCTCTAATTAAAGAAAAAATAAGTAAATAGTGGTGTAGTAAAAACAGAAATTTTCTTTAATGGCGCATAATTAAATAGTACAAATATATTTTACTTTATGTTATGATCATATCGATGCCTGGATGGATCATATTCTCCGCCAACATCCACCACAATATCACAGGTATCTAAGACACTTTTATCTCCAGATCTAAAAATTTAATTGTATAGCTATGAATTTTGCAACCCAATATTTCATATTCAATTCCGATATAATAATCCATGTCAATTCCCATTCTCGATATCAGTTAGGACGTCAAAATTCTTGACTCTTAGGTGAGAATAATTACCTCACTATAGATGCATCCTTATACTGTGGTAGCAGTTTTAAGAGTGCGCAGGCAAGTACTCCAGAGCAATAAAAATCTCCGTCAGCTGTGCCGATCCTCACGATCGATTTTCCCGACATCGTGAGAAGATTGGAAAATCCGCCGAAAAGCGCGCTTCTTGACTGAAAACTATGATCATCATATTAAATTACGAGATTTAATGCTATATTAAGTAAATATATCGT